CAGGCTTCTAAAAGTCCTCGCAGAAACTTCGGTGTTTGAAATGTTTTATGAGCCACTCCTTTTAATCCTTCTGAGGTCTGAACAAAGGATCTTAAGGACACAACCTGGAGTTTATCTATTCCAGAGCTGTATTTCTTAGTAATTCTAATGAGGATCTCATATATATGACACAGTTTTGTTTTAAAGTAGACATTTTCAGATCCTATTTGAAGTGTATTTTTTAAGTGCATTTCTTGTTCTTTATATGTCATTGAGAAAAAAAAAAAAAACAAAAACAAAACAAAAAAAACAAACCCAGGCCCATTTCTCCTCTTTTAAAAGATTTACTTTTGTTGAGATTATAATTATTTCACCATTTCTCTCTTCCTTTTCCTCCCTCCAAACCTTGCTTTCTTTCAGATTCATGGCCTCTTTTTCTTTAATTATTGTCACATGTCTATATGCACATGTATATAGATACAGATTTCTGAATACCTTGTTGGTCTGTATGATGTTATTTGTGTGCTTTGTCTTAGGGGTGAACCATCTGATACTAGATAACCCACTGCGGTACTCCTCCCTGGGCCGTTCCCCCAGTCTCAGCACTTCTGACTTACCTGTGGATTGTGCAGGGTTGAGGTCTTGCGGACTTGCGCTGTCAACTTCGGCATGACTCTCGATTGTTGCCCTTGCTCAGGGCAGTCATGTTGGTGAGTCTTTATAGGCGTAGCTTCTGATATTATCAGGAGACACAGTCTTTCAGCAAACTCCCTGATCTGCTGGCCCTTACGCTCTGCCTCCTCTTCCAGAAACATCCCCTAAACCTTAGATGCATGTCTTGTTTTATGGATTTACCCGTTGGGGCTGGATCTACAACTGCAGCTGGACTGGCTCTATGCCCACAACTCTGTTATTTTCTGTAATATCTCCATCTGCCGCAAGGAGAAGTTTCCTTGACAAGGGATGAGGGCTATACTTATATGTGGAGTTTTGGAGCTAGGAGTCTTTGATAAGAGAGAACATTTGACATTTGCTTTCTGGCTCTGGTTACCTCACTTAGCATCTTTTCTAGCATATTTCATACTTCACCTGGAAATCTTCTTAACCGCATTGCTGACTTTAGTAGGTATGTTTCCTCTTTTCTGAGCTATCAGATGTTCATGAGGGCAGACTCCATGCTGTTGCCAAAGGAGCCATTCCTTTCCTCTACCTTACAATGTCTTCTCTGTTCCATGAGCCTTCGCTGAACCCTCCTTGAAGCCTTTCAGACTTTCACTACATGAGGACGTTTTGACTTCTGAAAATGCCACTCCAAAGCCAATGCCACTGGTTTTTCATTATGGCAGCATCTCATGTCTGTATACAGAACTGTAGCTGCTAACAACAGACACATAAACAAACTATCTCCAAAGTTAGTGAACTGAATTGTGGCCATTGTTCATGCACCTATGATTTTGGCAATGTGTAGCACGAACTAGCCATCTATATGTGCTGTCACCTGCGGATGGAAGTTTACTGGAGGCTGCAAAGTGCATTCAGGGAAGCTGACTCCCAGGATTAGTAGTTCGGTGCTGCCTACTGTGCAGGAGTTCATCTAGGGCCGGAAGCCGGAAGCCTCTGTTCTCCATGGCTCCTTCTTTTTAGGCTTGTCTTCCTTCCACACAAGTGTAGGTGCCACTGAGGCAGAAGAGGGAATCACATCACCCAGAACCAGAATTCCAGTAAGCCAGCCAGTGTGGGTGCTGGAAAGTAAAGACAGGTCCTCTGGAAGAGCAGCAGGTGCTCCTAACCACTGAGCCATCTCTCTAACCCGAAACTCCAGATCTTATGAAAGAATAGTTAAGTTTCTGAAGAGTAAATGGGACAGAGGTACTGTTAGTCTCATCCTCACAAAACAGTCTTGCTGTAGAAAGAGGAAAAGGGTCTGCATAAGGACATTGATTTTAGGGATATATTCCTTATTCCCGGTGACTAAATTATAGGAAAAAAAAAAAAACCCTGAAACTCAGTATTTTTGTTCCTCTGTGACTAAATCATATGTCTAAGCTACAGATATAACTGTAGTCTTTCTGTTCCCTATTCTTGTCAAGCACAGCCATCCTAAATTCAACATTATAATAAGGTCATGTATCTATTTCTTCTCAAGGAGAAGCCAAATAAGTATTTTCATTATGAAGGAATGAACAAGCTTTGAATGGGCTTTGTATGCATAAAGTTCTTTTTGATTTTTCATTTCTAAAGTCATATATATATATATATATATATATATATATATATATATATACACACACACACATAAATACCATCTACATACAGAGTACCACGTGGTATGTCCATGCAATGATGCATGCACTGTATATTGTTTAGTCAGATTAAATATATATATTTTTACTGTTAAGATCTTTAGTTATTTTTATTGTCTCTTTTTAAATATACAGTACATCATTAAATCACTCTAGTATGTCACTTTCTCATGCTGGTGTAATTGTAACATAGGACTCATGTATGGACGGCTCCTTATTCCAGCCTCTTTCTAGTTTTCTTCAGTATTGGGGGTTTAGTGTCGTGCAAGCCAGTTAACTGCTCAGACACCCCAACTACTCCTTCCTCTTTCCTTTTCCCAGCCTCTGGTAACCACTAGTCTCAATTTCTGAGATCAACATTTTTTTTTTCTTTTTAGATTTCACATGGGTGAGATGATGACATATTTATGTAAAAACTTATGATAGTCACTCTCAAAACTCAAGATAATCAAGCAGGATTAACTGTTACAGCATAAAGTGTGAGGTCTCTTATCCTGGAAGATAAGCAGCTTCCAAGCTCCACAGCAGTGAAGGCCACTTGTCCCATACAGAAGGTGTATCTAGTATTGTGTCAGAATATTTTGAAGCTGCCTAAATGTTTCTTGTTTGAATTAGAAACCAGGAAGTGGGCAGTGGCCACCACCTCTCAAAAGTGGCTTCTCTTTTCATTGTCCTAAGAGATATCAAGGTCATGAAAGATGGATTTCCTTACTTCCTGATTCTGTGTCTTAGATAAGTCACAGTTAAATGTCACTCTGTTCCTAATCTCCTGGCTGGAGTTACCCATTTCCTCCTACCAAAGACACAGCCTAGTCCAATGCAGTGTTTTCATACATGGTAGTCTGAAATATTTCTAATATCTAGCAGTTGAGTTTTTATTTAATTTTAGATTTGATGCCTTTCAGAATCACATCAAGTCGAAAATCAGTTGGCTACCCCACATCAACTGGAATCTAATGTTTTGAACCTCTCAGAAAGCAGTTAGAATGTGGTCTGCTTTGGATATATTTTGTTTGCAGTGTCTGTGATATAAACTCAGGTTGGAGAGATGGCTCGGGAGGAAGAGCCTTTGCTGCCCAAGCACAGAGACCTATGTTTGATTCCCAGCATCAGTGTGGTGCCCAGGTATGTAATGCCAGAACTCGAGAGAGGTGGGTCCCTGGAGTTTACCATCCAGCCAGTGTAGCTGAGACTACAAGCTGCAGGTTCAGTGAGAAACTGTCTCAGAAAGCAAAGTGAGCGGTGATTGAAGGAGACACTCAGTGTTGCCCTCTGGCCCTAGTGCACACGTGCATATGGATATGAACACACACACCACAAACAATAAATTCTTAATTTGTTCCACTTTTGTTCTCAAGTTTTAAGAACCCATAATCTACCTCTTCAGTTTTTCAAGGATTAATTTATTTAGAATCTAAATCTTGTACTACGGACCAGGCCGGTCTGGTCTCCTCTGTATTGTGTGAAAGGTTCATGTTGACCTTATGACAAAACTCCTGCCTCAGCTTTTCAAGTGATAAAATTACAGGCCTGAACCACCTTACTCCATTGAGACTTTGAAAGCTGTTTTCTATAGCTTATATTTCACAAAAATACTTTTCTAAATAGTGGTGGCGCATGCCTTAATCCAAGCACTTAGGAGGCAGAGGCAGGTGGATCTCTGAGTTCAAGGCCAGCCTGGTCTATAGAGCAAGTTCCAGGATAGCCAGGCTACACAAAAAAACCTGCCTCGAAAAACCAAAAATGAAAAAAAAAATTATGAAGCAAGTATAAGTGATAGGCCTAAGTATATATCATCTTCCAGTCTCAACAGACACCCACATAGCACATCCTAAGAGATAGAGACACTCACACATAGATTAAAAGTAAAAATAAAATAAAAATTTAAAAAAAGAAAAAGAAATTTTACTACCAGTTCTTTTTATTCAATTTTTTATTGAATGGGGTAGAATGGTTGAATAAGTCTAATTGTGATGAGGTTTCAGACTAGAAAATAATAAAACTACGAATGTTTAACATTTGTCATTTAAATACTTTTCTGTTCTAAAAAAAAAAAAAAAGTGGGAGGGAAACCCCTTGTGGCTGACGCTGTATCCATTGTAAGCTTCAGCCAGGGAGGGCTTGAGTGTGTTGACCTGGATGAGGGTATGTGGCAGAGAACAGGAGTGGCACCTGAACCGATGCTTTACACCACGGCTAACCACAGCCTGGGAGATGGAGCTGAGAGCCCAAAAGATCAAGATTTCCCCAGGGATCACGAGAGAAAGAGCTGGGCTGTGAGGAGCGCTGCCTTGCCACCAGGGTAGCACTGACAGCACAGCAAGAGAAGGGCTCTCCTCTCCCACACATTGTCCCATGACGTCATCCAGCTGAGAGCCCTGTCAGGCAGGGCTTGTCTTCATACGGAAAAATACGTTCCTCATGATTAATGCCATCTCAATTTGTCCTCACATGGAGCTGTCTGAATAAGCATTGCCTCTATTTGAATGTCTGTATTTTGTATATATTAATAGATGAAAATGGCATAATTTCTGACCAAATACAAATCTCAATATTCACAACTGAGAGTTAAGTAATGACCCTAATTATTCTGTGTCCCCACACACTGGGATAGGTTAGTGAATCTGACTTAGAATCTGCTTTATAATACTTAAAGGTGCTTTTGCTTTTTGAAAAATAAAATCTTTGGACTGTAGAAATAATAAAAGGAGCCATGAATCATCTGTGCATGGATTTACTAAACACGTAACTCGGGAACACGAGTAATAGACGGTCGTGTTTAGCGTGGATGGCCTTCCCATCACCGGGCACTTCCTAAAAAGGAGTGGTACAGCGCGTGCTTCCATGGTCGGTGTCACTGAGTGCCTGAAAACTTCAAAAGTAATCTCAGGGTTTTCTGCTGAGCCTTCTTCAGGAAGGCTCTGGCAAAGGCGGTCTTTAAGAACATGGCTCTCACCAGGCATGTGGTCCTTCAAACTCACTTTTGGTGCTGTGGATAACTCTTCACTGATGTCCCTCTTGAATGACATAACCTCACACTCTCCAGTTCTCTGTCTTTAGTCTTAAAACTTCACTCAAACCAAAAGACATTGATAGACTTCTCTGTCTGCTTGAAGTTATACTTTCACAATTTTTTGAAATGGACACAGCTCAACATACCTTACATTAAAAACGCATCCGTTTCCACCTCTTTCTCTGCTCCTTCTATACAGCATGGTGGCTTGAAGACGGCAGCTTCCCAGCAAGCTCAGAGAAACAGAGAGACAGTGACGAGCTTCACTGTATCCATGCGCCAAGGGACAGGTCTGTTGGCTCAGCCTAGTATTGCAGTTTTCAGACTACCAGTCTTGACCACCAAAACCTGGGGGTCTCACTCTGTTAGAAATAAACTGAAATTGGCTAAAAGCCTGAATAATTAAAATCATTAATGCCTGCATTACTTCCTGTTCATGTGGAATGTCTGGTTTAAGCGTTTACCACCACCGTCAACTGGTTAAACTGCTGAATAATTTGACTCAGTAATATTTTAATATCTGTTCTTTTTCATTTGTTTTTATGACAGACAGTTTCATGTAAGTCCAGGCTGGCTTTGAACTCCTGCATCTACTTCTCCAGTACTGATTACAGGCATGCTGCTCTTCATAGTTTAACTGCACACTTTAAGGAGAGGTTCAACCTGGTCTTACATGGCATCATAGCCCTGGACCTTTCTGAGCCCAAGAGTGTCCTCTTGGTGGTGGAGCCTGACCTTCCTAAAAGCAATGCAGAAGCTGAGTGTGGGGGAATAAGCCTTTCGGACTTTATTGGTTAGCCTTCAATCCAAATTCTTCATGTTACAGCTCAAAATAAGAAATTAACATTTTAGGCAAAATAAATACTTTATTGTTTTAATGGGGTTTTTCATTTTTTGTTTTTTTTAGAGATCAGCCTTTGTGTGATAGCTCAAATATTTATAAACCTTTTAGATTTTCTTTCAAAGAGTGCTAACTAAGCACTTTTGGCTAAAATTTCTCACACAAGGAAACATAATAGGAGTTGAAAATTACAAATGCTAAAAGATTAATTTCTAATAACATTTGATTGTTACCTTATACATTTATTTCACATATAGAAGACCAGACAGGAAACCCTTTCTTTCTTCTTTCAGGAAAACCAAGAGTTTTCACTGGTTAAAACTGAATTAAAATCATTTATGCATGAGAAAAACAAGTCTAAATCTCATTTTTGAAAAAGAAAAACCAGCTTATTCAGTTGTAGTCCATCCATTCAAGTCACAGGCCCCACTATCTTGACAATACTATTTAGTCTAAACGACAGAAGAAACACTTAAAGTAAGACATCCGGACAATGCAGAGTGCACAGTGCTTACCCCAGGGCACATAGCTACAATAAAATTACAATGCAGAGCGTACACAGTGTCTACCACAAGGCACACAGCTCGAATGAAATTACATTTGTTTGGGGCAAAGCAACAGGTTTACAGTGTAAGAACATGAAGTAGTTGTAGGTAACCTCATGAGATCTACCCTGCTGCTTCTCAGTAGCCTCCTCAAGAATTAAGAGCAGTTTTTACAACACAACAGTTAGTCTTCTTGGAAGTGACCCCAATGAAGAGCAGTGGAGGGAAAGTCATCGGCTGCTTCAAGCTCTCAAACGATGAATCTGTTATTGCACAGTAAATACCTCACAGAGGTCAGTGTTGTAGAAGCTAGTCTGCAGAAATATGTTATTTATAAGTTGGTTACATCTGGAACTCTTCAAGTTTTACAATTAACTCTACATAGGATATCAACTGGAACAATATTGACAAACAAATAAATACCAGGCTTTCAGATGGCCAGTCTGACAGTTTAGAAATGGGTCAGCAACACGCCTAAGTTTCTATGTATGTTTTTAAGCTTTTTATGCAAAGCAGAAACCATACACCGCATACAGAAACACACTGTCCATGTGCACAGCAGCCCAGCTCAGTAGGGAGGATCTTCCAAAGGACAAGCAATACCTCCAACGCCAGTGGTACAGTTAGTGGGGGCCACCCCAACCCTAAAGAGGAGGAAAAGTGAACAGTAAACACCCTTCAGATACCACTTTAGAAGTTCCTTAAATGCAATGTTATATTTGTTCAAGTAAATACATAAATGTCATAGATATCTCTATGCCTATCTATCATCTATTTATTATTTATTTAATAAAATGTAATTATAAGTGAATCTACATATCTGTTTAAAAGACAAAAATAATATGGAAAATAATAAATTTCTTTGACTAATTCTCAAATTCTTGCCCATAAATTGTACATTTGAAATATAACTTAATTAATATTAAAGTAAGATTCAGGTCTAAACCCCAATTCCAGGATTTATTTGCTACAATGACTTTCAATGTAAGCACAGACTGTAGGCAATTCTGTTCTTAAATTGAGTTGTCTAGACTTTAAATGGGTTGTATATGGCTTTCCTAGCACAGGATAACTATGACATATGTTATGAAAATAAAAATAAAAACTCAGCTACAGATAGCAGACTGCAGTAAGTAAAAAGTTACAAATCAAGTGTGAGTGTTCATGTCGTCACATGAAGACACTGACAAACATTACCCAGCATGCTCCTCTCAGTGACTGTCCGACTTAGAGCCAGATGCTTTACTTGAAGACACGGCTGCCAGAAGTCCACTTACAATTTCTCGTCGAATTTCCCCAACAATAGACTCTTTAATCTATAATGGCCAAAGGAAAAAACATGCATTTAACAATATGACTACACTATTGTTTTTCTGTTTTCAGATAAAATATATACCAGTCAATTGTGGCAGCTGGCTAAATCGGAGAGAAGATGGCAGCCTTCGTGTAACAAATGCAAAGAGGCACTTTCAGGATAGGCCCATCCCGCAGCTCGCATGAGACTCCAGGTCTAGGGTAGGACAGCCCAGCCAAGGGCATTATGAAACCATAGCTCTTATGAGCCAAACATGATAAAAGTTCTCTCGTAAGCTACTTCACATAACAGCCTCCTAGGAACAAATGTGAGGTTTGCCATGCTGCGTTTTATGGATGTCGGGAAGTCAGCAGGATCTATGCAATTAATGCTAAGAAAACCTGATGTGTAGGCAGAAATACTCTGCCTGTTTCTGCCAGCTAAAAGAATATCTACACAAGTTATATACTGTCTTAACCTAACACACATTTTAAGTGGCCAGAAGAAATTTTCATTTAGTAATACTTATGCTTTAAATATACACATACAACCATTCGCTCTAAAATTGCTTGTTTCTCTTTAGTGATATGACATACTTGTCACTGTCTGACTTAGAAAGAGCCTTTGTCTTTGGTTAGGGAAGTGGTGGAGTCAGTAAGGTGCTTACCATGCAAGCATGAGGATCTGACTCCGATTCCCAGAAGCCATGAGAAAACAAAACAACAAACAAAGATCGCGTCGCAGGTGTGGTGAGCTGTGCTTGTAATCCAGACACTGGGGACGTAGGGGCAGGTGAGTGCCGGGGACTAGCCAAGCCAGCCAGCCAGCCTGCCTAGGAATCCTAGGCCAGTGAGAGACTCTGTCTCATAAAATGAAGCAGAAGCCTCTTGAGGATGACGCCAGCGCTTGTCCCTGGCCTCCACAGGAATGTACATGTCCACACACAAACAAACACCCACAATATGCACACACACAAAGCAAGAACACGCATCTCATTTTGTTGGTGAAAAAAGCAAACAGACCCGAGGCAATGACCATTCTAATTAGGATTTTCTTGTCCAGATGTCTAAATACTACATTGCCTCCTTCCTCCTTTTCTTTCTAATGACATAGCTTCACCTCCAAACAGCTCTCTGTAAAGGCTTTAAATGTACATTTCCTGAAGTAAATTGATAATGCATTCCCAAATTAGTACTGTGCTACTCTCAACTAGCTCTTAAAAATTCTACATTTCCACAGTTTCCTGTCAGCCTGATCTATTTCCTAAAACGTTCCTAAATACATCCTGAAAACATCTCAACTGAAGTCTTTCTAAAAATGGCTCTGCCATGCAAAACTGGTACATAACACATTGACTTATATATGATTCTTCACAGAAGCAAAACAAGGCTGAAGAAATGGCTAGGCTCACAGCTACAGAGACAATAGAAATAAAATGTTTCTTTGCTATCAGCCACCTATCTGCCTTGCTCCACATATAAATAAATATCACTTTACCTTCTACCACATTTGTAAAACATTACATAACAAAGTTTTTGAAATTTATAATACTTTAGATCCATTTTTAAACAGGTATGAAACATGAAAGCCAGAGTCTTGTAGGCACCATACATAAAGCAGATGCAGTATGCAGAAAAGGACCCAGTGAAAATCTATATCTTACAAGAAGATGGGCAGCGCTTTCTAAAGTGACTCTATGGACAGCTTGGTTACATTTCCTTCCTGCTCATCATTCAAAACACAAACTAGCCAACTAGTTAGCTAAGGATGTACCAATTAAAAATGAATGCTAAGCATGCTGGATAACACAGATATTACTAGCATAAAGCATAAAGGAGAAGACCCTAGCAAGGTGATATGTATCTGCAGTCCTGGTCATTTGGGAGGCTGAGACAGGGGGACTGAAACCACCTTGAGCAAGACCCCATTTCAATAAAGAAGAAAACAAACATGCAAATAAAACATGAATCTCTAGGAACACACAAAATGATCCTGTCTCACAATCGACTAATTAACTATCTAACTAAACAAACAAACAGATAAATAAATGAAAGCTGGAAGTGCTGGCACAGGCCTTTAATCCTAGCACTGGAAGCAGAAGAAAGTGGATCACTGGAGGCCAGTCTGGTCTACAGAGGAGCTCCAGGAAGACAGGGCTATATACTGAAAGCCAGTCTCAAAAAACAAATAAAGAGACAAAAACAAACAAATAATAAAACAAAAGAGAAAGAAAAGTAGCTATATTTAAACTTGCTCTGAAAATAACACAATGTCTGTAATAAGCCATTTTACAAAAAAATTGTCGACAAATAAATTTGTTCTGAAGTTCCCCATGCTGTAGAGAAGACAGGAGGGTCAGAGTAAGAAAATTCTAGGAGCCCCACATGAAGACCAAGCTCTCCACCGGGAACATATGTGCAGGGCCTGGGTCCAGACCAGCGGGGGCTGTCTGTGGCTAGGACTCTCTTACATGCGTCTGAGTCCTTCCCCCTGGCAGGGTAGAGAGTGTGCTCAGTTCTGATAAATCTTCACGTGCTGGGATGGGCAGGTGGGGGAGGGGAAGAGGGATACAGGAAAGAGGAAAGGAGGGTGGGCCCAGGAGAGGAAGGAGGGGACTATGATTGGAATGTAAAGTGAACAGACAGACAGACAGATAAGAAAATTCTAGGCTGGTTTGTACCTTTGTGAGCAAAGTTTCCAAAAGGCTGTGGACAGGCTAGATGTTGTTTCAAAAAGGCTGTTTATTACTCCACACATGGGCTTGTTGGGGGGTATGTGTGGCTACATCTACATCTACACACTGCCTACAGGCCCAAAGCCTGGCCCCTTAACTGGTCTCTAAAAGATTCCAGGGAATACATGAGAACTTGTGTTTTTACCCAACACGTGTTTAAACATGTCAGACGTAAACATGTCAGGTGTAAACCAAGCCTAGAAGCTTAAATAAACAAAACCTTACCAAAAGCTTTAAGACTCTGCGTAGTCTTGACATTGATGTTGAATTTGCCTCTGTGAAAACGGCAAATTTTCACATATTGTATTATCAGTCGCCTTTGTTTCCTATGCATACGTGTATTTCTAAACTATCTGCAAACGGTTTCGGACCTGATCTACACACGTCATAAATGGCTCAGGCCAGCTCTAAGGCTGTACTGTTCTGCCCCACTGCGGGGTGGGAGTGTACAGTCTGGGCAGACAAGGAGCGTCCTTAGTGTGACAAGTGTAAGTACAGACTGTGTTAAACACTTGTCTGAAAGGATCTGTGGATGCTCTCCTTCCACGGTGGGATTCCACTCAGTGAGTGCACTGTGAGCAGCAAAGCACTCTAAGACCCCACAGGGTGCAGGGGTGGAGACAAGGGCCTGAGAGACACCATTGTGCTCATGCACCACGCAGGAGTGCAGTAGGGAAACTTCCCAAAAGCTCCTGCTAAACAGTGTAACCCTCACCTGCCAAGCTCTGCCACCCAAGATTAGACTGTGCCTTCCTGAACGGCGGCTTTGTTAATGGGGTTAAGGGCCACAAACTTACTGGGAAGATAAAAATAAAGCTTTATTTTCTTGGGAGCAGATACAATAAGCTTAAAAACTTGAAATTTAGTAACACAGACATTTAAGTTTACAAGGTTACCAGTTGGAAATGAATGGATTATGGAATAATCAACATTTTAAATATTTTTATAAACAAACATAGAATCAACTAGTTGAGTTATGTTAACAGTATAAACAGGTTTTGAATTTTAGCTAGGAATGAGCCAGTGTAATTATTCAAGTACGTTCAAGTTCGACTTGGTAAGTGTGCCCTGTTCATCTGTATATCCAGGGTAAGCTCTTCTCTGAGGCCAGCAAGGGAGGTGTCAAGCAGGTCTCCTTCAAGTGTTGCCATATTCTCAGCTGAATGGCTTCTCAGGAAAGGTTGAGTAACACATTCTGAAAAGTTTGTCAAACATTTGCCTACCACTCCAATTTAACTGTTGACAAAGTATAGCATCTTTCATATTTAATGGGAGAGTCCTATAAATGATTAAGTAATTCTTTAGGACCAAGGCAGCATAATGGAAACAAATGACTTCTTCTACGCTCTGTGCTATTGGCCAAAGAATCAATGTTCTGGTCTAAAGCGAACACTTTCTTCCTAGGAAATTACTTGCAACATGGACCAGGCCAATAAGTTTTAAAATGAGAACTCAGGCATGCAGTAAAGGAGTATGCCAAACAAGCAACAGAAAGCCAAGTCTTCAGGAGGACTTCAAACCCAGTAAGTTAAAAGGAACGAAAAATATCAAAACCAGTAAAATAAAAAAGAGCAAATGTGCCATTAGCAAATGCAGCACAGGTAGAGCAATTATGTAATCTAACTCAAGCGCTGTCCCATGTATAAACATGCACCATGGAATGGCTTCCTACTCACGTGCATACCTGACTGAGGAGCCTGAACGTGCATTTAGCTAAATATTAGTCAGCCACAACTGACTCACAAGAATAACTCCATTTGTAGGACAAATGAGTGCATAGAATTAAAACCTACTAGTTCGCAGTTGTGTCTGGAGAATAAATAGAAACATGCAACTACGCTGATTTTGAAAATGGGTATTTGTTCCAATACGTTCCAACATGCCAGAAATCTAGGCTAACAATTTGCATGTAACACAAATGTCATGCTTGTTTATTTGCATTTCATCCTTGAGACACACAAGAGGCCGTAGAAAGTAGCTTTCAGCTGAACCCAGGAACTCCAGAGCACAAAATGCAGGCGACTTACACATCTGGCAGCAAGGTCAGCGCTGTGCATCAGCCACTCCTACTCACGCCTGCACTACAGCTTTGCCAGATTTCAGAGCAACCTTCCACTTCATGGTAGCCGCTCACAAGCTCCAACCTCCCACCCCTATTCCACAAGCACAAGTCAAACATTTCCAGGGTCAAGGACCATTTCACTGTAGTATATCTGCTTCCTGATGCTGACGATGGATAGAACTACGTTACTGCTGCGAGTAGTTTTATATTTTTTGCCCTTTTTACTGTCACTGATGAAGTTTGGAATGTCATCTTTCCAATCCTATTCTACTCCAACAAGTCCTACAGGTTTTAGTGCACATTTTCACGGCACAGACACTTTCAGGAAGACACTATCATCTCTGTATTCACAGAAGACTCACTGTTGATTTTAACGTACTTTTCATGCTTCTACTGTGTAATAAATGACGGCTCCATATGTGCAAGCACCGATCTTTGGCCCCAGATGATCAATGGCCCTTAAAAGGGAGAATTCTATGCCAAGAATTGATTCTAAAAGTACAACAGATTCACATTTACATTAGAAATACAGATTGAAAATGCGGAGGCCTAACTTTTATTTTGACTTATCTGGCTCCTAATGTCCTTAGGATACTGTATAAATTGTGTTGCTGGTTTCTCCATTTTTCCTTTTGCTTGGGCAGTGCTGGGGGTCACAGTCAGGGCCCCACACATGCTGTGTGTCACCTTTGCTGGGGTCACAGTCAGGGCCACACACATAATGTGTGTCACCTTTGCTAGGGGTCACACTCAGGGCCCCACACATGCTGTGTGTCACCTATGCTGGAATCACACTCAGGGCCTCATATGTTGCCACTCAGTTACAGATCAGCCCCTAATGTGACTTTTTACATATATAATATATTGTCCTATTTAACTAGCAGCAAAAATAAAGGTGTTTATCATCAGGAGTTTTAGGAGTAGTTGTAAAAAAAAGTAAAGCTAGTTATGTTTCCTCTTTGTTGAAAACAGAATAAAAAAGTTCAATGTGTACAGCCTACAGAGAACCGGTTAGAAGCCACTGTGAAATCTGCCCTTGCCGCTCCCCCCTTTAAAGTAGATGCACTAGTTTATACTAAGGAATTCGGTGGCAAAAGTGTTATAATTTAAACCTAAAATTCTCCCAGATGCTCAGACGCCAGAGGTTGGCCCTCAACACAGTGAGGCAGAGGTGGGGCCTGGTAGGAAGCAGCAGGCCCCTGGCACAGGGTCTTGGGTGCTCTGTGCTATCCTGGCCCCTCCCTTCCCGCCCTCCCTGTGTCCTACTCCACCCCAGCTTTCTCCCACAGCTCTGCTCATGAGCAGCAGAACCCGGCGTTTGTGGGCTGAAACCTCTGAGAGTGACAGAGCAGACCTTTCCTCTTTTAGCTTGTTCTTCTCAGGCATCTTGTCACAGCTATGGGAAACTCACTGTCATTCTGTGCATCTTCCCAATTAACTTTGGACCCTGACTACTAACCTCCATGAATGTTTGTGGTCCCTTTGGTGACCCAAACTCTGGTTAACACATTAGCTTCTCATGCTCTTGCCATCCAGCGTGAACCCCATTTTCATACTATAATCAACCTATGACCAATTCACAGAAATTCTACACTTCTCCAGCCATCAAAGAAAAGAGAACAGATTCTTTACAATTCTTAACCTCCTCTTTTTCGCATGCCAACTGGAACTTTAGAAAATGACAGCTTTTAATTTTGGAAGAGGTCTAAATTGTAATTCCTCATTTTACACATGTAGAAATGAGAGGTTTAAAGCGCTTTACCTTAGACCTTCAAACTTTATGTTTATAATAAAGTTTGAATTTTTATGTTTATAAAGTTTTTCAAACTTAAAGTTTATAAACTTAAAAGTATATGAACAGCTTCCACTAGGGTGGAAAAGGCGGTGGGATTCAGTCCGAAATCTGCAGAAATGCAGGAAAACTGATCTAAAGCTTTCTGCAAATTACTGTCTACAGTGAAATCAAAGTCTACCAAGTACCAGTACCTGAATAAATCTACCTCAACGCCTACCTGCAGCTGAGGACGCAGACTCGGGCTCCACCCACCTCCCAATGCCTGCCCGCAACTGAGGGCTTCACCCACCTCCCGACCCCCACCTGCAGCTGAGGGCTGCACCCACCTCCCGACCCCCACCTGCAGCTGAGGGCTGCACTCACCTCCCAATGCCTGCCCACAGCTAAGGGCTGCACCCACCTCCCGTATGACTTGCTGAAGCTCATCCTGCTCTACATTCTGGTGCATTTCCTCAGCCGCTGGCATGGGTAGGAGATCCTCAGGCTCTTCCTCCATGTGAGATGGAAGTCCCACAGCCCGTGGGGCTTCTTCAGCTGCTCCAGTTTCCTCAGAACTCTCCAGATCCGGAGGCGTCTGCACAGAGCCTGTTCTAGATGGGGCAGTTGGTGTCAGGGCCACGGAGGCTCGGAATATCTTCTTTCTGGCCACTATGCGGGTCCTGGGTTTGCTCCCAGAAGGCGCCCTGGATCTTCTGTGGGTGTGGGAAGGGCTGGAGCAGACAGAAGATGACTCTGACGTGGCTTGAGAGAAGACGGACTCCGAGCTCTCTCCAGGAGGAATCTCAAAGCCCATGTCTCCAAGGCCCAGGCCCAGCTCCGACTTCAGGTATGACTGCTCCCGCATTAGTTCTGTGACCTGGAGGCCAGAACATTGTTCTTTTTCATTAACTTATTTACTGGTCAATATCATTCACACACACATACACAAATTTAAACTCATAGTAATCTCATGCCACACCCTGAAAACCTAGGACATGCAGTTAAGTAAAATTTTACTACTTAGCAAGGAGATGTCTGAATTCTTTCATGGAGAAGTAATTAATGAAGCCTAAAACAGCTACTCAGAATGCTTTGCCAATGAGTCTAAAGTATAATGATGATACATAACACAGTCACATGACAGGCGTGTGAGGACCAGCATCCAAAAGGAAGCACTCCTTGGGTATAAATGAAATGTTCCGATGGTGCAGGACCTCCTTAGGCCATAGAGACCCACCACACAGTGATGAGGCTAGCTAGAGGCCGAAAATGACCCTCCTTTCAAAGTGGCAAACCCACTTCCAATTAATTTAACTTGTTAAATTCTGTACTTCAGCTGCATGTTCGTGAGATTCTAGACTCCCCGTCCCAGTGACCTAGAAAGATGGCGCCTTACTGGTTCCATGACATTCAGTGGAGATGGGCACAGTAAGTTATCAGCACTCCGGCTGCCGCACATCCCCTGCAAGAGAAGCGCAAGACACAGGCTCACGCAGGCACACAGTTTCTCAGATGCAAATGCTTCACGATAAAATTACTTGGCTACTTATTTCCTCGAAACAGCCCTTTATGTCACACTGAGGTCACTGCCATGGATTCCGCCAAATGTACTACCGTGACAGCTGCACTAACTCTCTCTTTCTCGCTCCCACCAACACAGTTCCAAGCACGATGAGTCAGAATCATGAAAACATGCATTCATAATGATCTGCAATATTATTTTATCTATGTATATATCCATTCTCATTCTCCTCCACATTTTACACATATACTTATTTGAACAAAATCAAACATGAGAAAAGCAGGATAAAATTCAAAATTTCAAAGCAACACATTTATAACTGTAAAGATATTGGCAAAAATAAGAATATAATGGTGAAACCCAAATTCCATGGGAAGGAGCATTAGAGATGATGAGCAATAGTGTGGAGCAAGGACAAAGTGTCCCCTTCGTTATGACTGGATGTGGGTCCTACAAGGACCTCACCTTTGGCAGTCAGGAGACACAGTGGACCACTAGGGCACTGTCTGAGGGAAGGCCATGGAACGCTTAAGTCCATCCTTCAGCAGCAAAACCAAACCAAACTAAACCAACAAAAACAAGCCCACAAACAAACAAACAAACAAACAAACAAACAGAAAAGAACTAAGCTCCAACAAAGAAAAAATTCAGAGGGGTCAACTGTTTACTTAAACAAGGGCGGGTGGGGTAAAGGAGTAATACATTATGTTCTTTGGAGTTTCAAGCAGGAACACAAATTTAAAATAGTCATCTTTCAATTCATTAGAGTTTTTCCTTCAGAAACATAACTTTTGTGTGGACCTTTGCTTTTTCTATTACTCAAAATTATTAAGAATTTCAATTTATTTTTAAATATACTAAATATGAAACTTCGTACATAAAACTAATGTGTATGGGAGCGATGTGCTATGTGAGCATTATGCATGGTTCTATAGCATCCGAGCAAGTGGTTAAAATGAAGTTCCTGTCCTCAGCCACACTGTGCAGCCTCTGGACCGCCACAGCGTGGTGCTCATACCGGGAGCACAGAGGAGCGGAAGGGTGAAGGCACCCGCACGGCGCGGAGCTGCTCATCCAGGCCCAGCAGGCGCTCCTCCAGCTGCATCTCCAAGTCCTGCAGCTCCATCCGCACGGAGTTCCGTAGACCCTGCAGCTGGTCGACTTCATACCTGTCAGATTGGGACAAGCACAACTCTGGAAAATTGTAGCTGAGAGATTTCCAGTTACTACACTTTGAAATTCTATGACCTATGAAAGGTACTGAACTGCCATTTTAACATGCAGACAAAAGCTTGCCTGGGTAGCGGCTATATCTTGATTCCCTGCACCGTTCCCGCTCTGAAGAGCAGACTGCTCAGCATCTTCCTTGACACACTAGCGGCATGGGGACACCTCAGTCAAGTCCGTGTGCCTGTCTCTTACCTACACTGCTTCATTAAACACATAGTTCATGGTGTGCCAACAAAGCGGGGCTCTGAAGAAGCTATGCTGAGGCCTGCTTCTCTGAAGAGGCTCTGAGTACAGCAAGAGCCGTTACCTGTCCTCCTCTGTCATGTGAGGGTACACCATGGTTTGCTGCCGTAGCATGGCCAACTCCAAGTCCATCATCTGCGTTCTGAACAGGTTAAGGCTCCTCCGCACCACCTGAAGCTCCTGAAAGGCGTTCTGAAACGCAGTGTAACGGCATTACACTTCTGAGCCACACACATGGCTTTTTTTACAAATCTTTGCAACCAAAGATTTAAGAGGGCGCTTACTTCATAAAGAGGTAGAATAGACGACTTCTGAGCACTGTATGGAGCAGCAGCGAGATCGGGTCCTCTCATCAGCGGGTACTTCAAACACAGGAAACAGGATTAAAAGCCAGGGCAAAGTGACGCCCGCCAAGCTCTCTAAGTCACTGAGGTGACTACGGCATGCACTATCATAAACCCACACTGTTTTATACTGTAATCAGCAACAAAAGAAAGGAGTCTCTAATACTGCTGATTATTACCCAATATTCCAGGTCCAAATGACTATCTGGAAGGAGGAAGAGGCATGAAAAAGACGTGTGCGTGTATGCCCATGTATGTGCTCACAGAACTTCCTTCCTGCCTTGAGCAAGTAAGGAGAAAAGGCAAACTGACACCTGGAGATGTGTGAACAAAAGGAAGGGAGATGCGGCTGGCGAAAGCTGTGGTGGCCAGGCCAGCACACATCCCCTCAGTAAGACCTACGCTACTGTTACAGGCAGGAAGACAAAAGGCCGACTCACCCTCACTGCACAGGGAAGAAGAAAAACTGCAGAAGAAAACTGTGAGTGTGTGTGAGTGTGGACGTGTGAGTACGTGTGTGAATGAGCACATGGGTGAGATGAGTGTTTATGCGTGTAAATGAATGGGAGTAGTTTTGGTGTGTGTGACTGAGCGTGTACACCTGAGTGTGTGTGGATGCGAGTGCAGCAGGGGCTGTATCATGAAAAGCAAAAGTTACCTACAAGCAAAAGGTCAGTGATAGTGATACGATATATAGTGGTGATACGAGCTGAGCTTTCCACACTATTAAGACTTTGAAGCTCATGAAAAGAGCAGCAAGGACAGAGTCCTACAGTTGGAAAACAGCAACAAAAACACCCACCTTCCACCCAAGGGATGTGTTTAAGGATCCTTACAACCCTGAGCGCCCTGCTGTCCAGAAGCCCTGAAGCCCACTCCTAAGCACAGCGACTGCAAGTGTCTGTCACTGGGTGAGGGAGGCGGAGGTCTATCACTGAGCTGCTGATGGGACATCACCGCCAGCAAACTACAGCTGCAGTGGCTGGCCTGGAAAGGCCCCCCACAGATGTACACACAGAGGGCTCCAGCAGTCCCCAGCCGCACAGAAGCATGGCGGAAATGCTCAACAGCTCAGTCACAGCCAGAGCTGTGCTTTCTGAGGAAGGAGAAATGGCTAGGTTCTGGTGAGGCTGCAAACTGTGAGGGTAGCTGTCAGGAGCACAAGGGTGGTCTTTAAAATGGTGTCTTATCCTCTGAAAAGTTGCTACTTGGATTTTTTACCCAAGTGGCCTCCCGTCCACCATCACTGTAACAGGTGGCATGCACTGGGAACTCACACTTTACCTGACTCTCTGCGAAGTGGTTCCAGTTTTGAGCCCACGGAAAGAGAAGAGGTCTGTGCCAGAGGTGAGCAGGGAACAGGAAAGTTTAGTCAGAGAGCTACAAGAACCAAGAGAACACCGAGCCACTGGAGCCAACAAGAGACTTAGAAAATTATATCAGCACATCCAAATGACAGAGAAAAGGAGAAAAAGGACTGAGAAGGGAGACGCTTTTTAACAGGACACTCTAAGGTTCTAGACAAGGAGAAGGGAGGGAAGGCTGAAAGAAGAAAACACCGGAAACAATTCCTCCACAGAGTTGATTCTCAGCACTGCAATTAACTTTGTTCAGGATTAGATACAGCAGCCCCCACAAAACAGGAGGGGTGTGTCTAGGAGGGCGGGTGCAGACAAGTGCAGGCATGTAGGAAAATAAGCCGAGGTGGTTTGTTCTGGGCCCTAGCTTCCTGGTGAATTAAGAGGAATCCAGAATAATAAAATGTAAGAATCTCCTCATCTTACCTGTGAAAGGTTCTGTAGTGAGTGTCTGATATCATGCAACACTCTTCGCAGCTGCATCTCTATGGCAGAAGGAGGATTCACAGGGCATGTCCTGTATGGGTGGGCAGCGTGCCTACGCGAATAGGGGCAGCAGAAAGGAGAAGAGAAGGCACTGCACGAAGCACCTGATATGTTGGGGACACTGTGAGCACTCAGAGTCCTCATGTGTTCGCACAGGGGCCTGTCCTGCCACTCAGAGTGGGCAGAGTGAAGGGAGCAGGTGGACTGGGAGATCGGAGCAAACTTTGGGCAGGGGCCTAGCCTTCCCCGGAGGTTCTCCTCCAGCCGTGTCCCCTCACTCTGAGGGGCTGCTTCTCTCTTCCCAGAGGATGGGGGGATGAAGATGGTAGATTTAACCAAAGACTGGCCATCATGCTCAGTCACTTGCTTCTCTAATTCCTGCTCCTCTTCAGAGGTGTACTTGTAGGTGAAGGAGGGTGGGCTGCACCTGGTCTCTTTCCCTGGAGATAAGCGCACATTGACAGAAGACACAACCCTGACTGGGCTCAGTAAGGTGGTGGGCAGAGACTGAGACCTTCTCAGAGGATAGCCAGCTTTTGCAAGCAAGTACCTCTGTTTCAACATATCCGCTGATTTTATTAGGCTACGCCCTACTCTCTGGCCAGACACACTGCAAACCTTCATCTGAGCTCTCTGCAGGGCAGAATTCACTCTGTCCACAGAAGAGGGAAGCTCAGTTTTCTTTTCAGAGCTCACACCGCTGCACTGAGCTTCAATGGAAGCCAAGGACTTGAGAATATGGTGTGTGGTGTACTGGGCAAATTCACATTCGCTGCTCCTCTCCACATCACTGTCTCCACTCCCTTCCTGCAAGAGCTCTGTGGCGGGTGCTGGAGCTGCACCCTCCTCCACTTCAGTTGTCCGAGGGCCAGGGTCACCTGAACCGCTTATGGACTCTTTGTTCCCAGTGTCCTCTGCAGTGTCACACTGAGGGAAATCTTGGTTATCTGCTTTTCTCTTGTCGGCAGCCCCTTTTGCTCTTTCTTTCTGAATTGGTGCAAGAGACTCCTCCTCCGACTCATTAAAATATGGCTGGTCTTGTGCTGTAGGAGTCACGTGGTCTTCACCAAATGATGTGACAGTTGTTTCACTGTCACAGCTGTCAGCGCTGCTCCCCATGGCTTGCAGGGACTCGTGAACCTGTGGAGGCAAACATTTGGGAGGATGGGAACAGTTACCACTGACAGAAGAGGACAGACAGGTGTGTCTGGATCAGAGCTCTCCCCCTGTAGCTGTTGTGCAGTTTCTACATCCCTTCCTACTTGCTCATCAAGATGGTCTCAGATCTACTTTTCTTAAATTCCCTGTCCAACACATGAAAATGACTCAGAGTTGAACAAAAATTTCTTAATCTTCTTCCCTAATATCTATACTTTCCCTAGTTCTCCCCACCTTCTTGATATTCTGAAAGGAATCATGTCTCTTCCTCACAGCTAGCCAAACTTGTGATCATGTTGCTGCAGGAGAGGCCTCTCAGCAGCTTCACCCCAGGGTCTTCTGGATCAAACTCTTCTAGTAAGCCCCTCCCTCCCATGCTGCCACAGGGAGACCTCTTCAAAGAAGCTGTCATCCTTACTTGAAAGCCTAGTCACGGGTCTTATCTCTCCTTCTTCATCATGGCACATACCTCAGGCTGTCTTGTTTATTTCATCACAGCTACATACCCTCTTCCCACTGCCCATCTTTTGTGCACTCCATTATTCTTTATTAACTATGAATTTAATACACATAACCTGTCAAGTATCAGATCTAAGCCCATTCTATCCTAAGTATGCTCAAACCACCTTTATTAACTTACAGGCAAGCAAAATGCTCTAGAATAAATCTTATTTTATTTAAAAGAAATTGAGTGTCATGGAGTTTACTGAATGCTAAAAAGCAGGAAACAAGATTGTATAAGTACAAGAGAGGCAGACGGCCACTCTGTAAACATGATGGAGTGCAAAAACTCAAAGCTCAGTATCCATCAAACCCTTGACCCGCAGCACAGGAGAAGCCCTGCCCACTCACTCCAGGAGCACGCCGTGGGCTACATCCCCTGCTACTGTCCGAATCGTGAGACATGCAACCAAAGGTTTCTAGGCAACAAACACCACTTGTGCAGCATTATACAGCTGCAAGTTTTAAGTCGAGGAATTACAACTTGGGGAACAGATACCTATTTGCCTTTATCAGTAAGTTTTACGTTTTCATATTAGTGATTATCCTTTTTCCCTTTTAATGTGAAGAGTTCTCCTTAGTGTTTTTTTAATAGCTTTTCTTCTCTTGAGAATGTCATGCATGAATACAATGAGTTCTGACCACAACTGCACCCCAGTTCCCCACTCCAGCTCCCCTACACCCCCACCATGTCCCTAACTCTTTTCCTGGTAACACACTGTGTTTACTCTGGCTTGCCCACATGCACCTGAGCACAGGTTGCTCACTGGGACACGGGCGGCCAGATGGTGGCCAGAACCGCAGAGAAATGACCCCTCTGCTGCTGTCACCGATCTCACCTGAGGTGGACTCTGGACGCCCTCCGCCCACCTGACGGGTTCTTCCTGTGTCTCTTGGGTGTGTTTCCTGCCTTCAGATGCCATGTTTCTGGAAATCTCCTTATTTTTCTTATTTCAACTTTCAAACTTTATTAAAGACATTTGAACACCCTTCCTGTGTAGTCTGGGAATCTACACACCCACTCACCTCCACTCTTCAAGGATAAGTAAGTACCTGCTTTCTAGGGTACCTAGTACAGTTTTCATAAAAGCCATGTAATTGGCAGGAATGTGAATTTAAAAATAAACAAAAGTTATTATAAAATACTGGAATATAATAACTACAAGAAAATAATAAAAACACCAGACCAAGCAATTTAATAACCAAAGTAATTTAGTCACTAGTAATATACAACTAATATTTTTTTTAAATACCCAGAGTTCATGAATAAGTAAAACCTGAAACTCATAATCAAATACTTGGCCAAGCTCTACATTCCAGACATTTTATTCCTATTTCCATATGATAGACCACCTTACAATAAGACACAAAGACAGACTGCCTTAAAATGAGGAAGCTAGTGAAAGCGCCAATTAATACCGCAAACTGTACCTGCAGGTGATTGAGAGAGAGGCAGTCTGTGGAGTCCTCAGCAAAGCCGCTGCTGTCGGAGTGCTGACTTGCAGTTCGCAACAGATGATCTGTCAGTGGAAACATGCCATTAAACAAAAACCCTGCACAGGCCGCAATGGCAGCACCATCAGCATAGATGAGACACCCAGAAAAGCAAAGTGCTTCTGAAAAATCATGGCTGCAAAGCACAGCAAGTAACTCACGTCCAAGTAAAAGCGAATCAGATTTTCTATCAGACTCTCAGCACTCACTTGCTAATTAAGCTCTAATGGTAATGGATTTGATAAATCCAATTAAGTCCTACCATAGAGAAAAACTGGATGAAATAAAAATAAAAATTTACATTATGCAAACCTACAAAATGATTAAGAAGTGAGATTAGAAGTTTGTATGTAGAATACATTAAAAAGGTTCTGTATCTTTCTAGTACGAAAGAATGAAATTAAAGGCTATAAACTAAATCATTTGAAATGTATGTAAATATCTCTAATATTTATTGTAAAAGTATTTATATTAAGATTTTTTCATAACAATTACACAGAAGTGAGATTCAATTAACATATAATACTATAAACTCCAAAAACATATTTATTATTATGTCACAAAGCTCTATCCTTCTCTTTTTCTCTCTCTCTCTGTTTTTTGTTGTTGTTGTTTGTTTCTTTGAGATAGGTTCTCTGTGTAGCGTGTAGCCTTGGCTGTCCTGGACTCACTTCATAGACCAGGCTGGCCTTGAATTCACAGAGATCTGCCTGCCTCTGCCTCCCTGAGTGCTGATTTCTAGACATATGGATAAGTATATGTACTTATAAGAAAGATGCTAAGCACAGCAAGCGAGATGACATTCTATCCACGTTAGAACGACCACAAGGGGGACTTTATAGCCAGCACATTTGCAAGGATAAGTGAGACAGGAGAGTCTTGCAGAATTCCAAAAGCAACAGGCTAAACACAGTGTTGATCACTAATCTGATCCAGACAATATGAGTAAATAAAATCCAAAGTTCACTTGAGTTTAAGAACATTCCACTGGAGTTTTAGGGTTCATGAAATAGTGACTTTGTCCTGAGAAAAATCCTGCAACAGTGTTATGATTTAACAAAGCTGTCTGATGAGTTAAAGAAGTGACCCGTATCCTTAGCAAACCTAGCAATGCTGGGATAACTATCAAACTGAATTGTGATGAACTGCTACCACCAGTTCTAACTGGGCATGACATTCATCCAAAGTGACTCGCAACCTATGGCAGAGAGTTGTCACTGTACTGGTGTTCCATGTCATTTGCTTTGCTTTGTTTTAGAACTAGACTGTGAGCCCGTGAGGACAGGACCTTTACTTATTCCTAATGTTCTGTGTGTAGAACAACACGCCAGTGTTTGCGTAATGACTCAGTGGTGACTCTCAACAACAATTAAGCAGTTATAGAAATGACCTGTAGGTTAAAGTGACTACGTGGCTGGAAAGGGGAAGCCAGAGCAACTAGGTCAGACTCAGTTTCTTCAAAGATCTGCTCAGTGTTCAGCAGAATAGAATTTAAGGTCTGGGCCAGTTCCTGTAGGAGCTGAGCATTATGGGAGTAACACTTTAAAAGACAGTGTAGACTATGCAGGCCACAAATCATAGAGGCACTGCTGTGCTCATCTATAGCCCAAGAGACTCAAGTGGAGCTTGAGTATAGTGTGCCTGAGCTAAAGGTAAAGGCTTTGCCTAAAAGTAAACAAACAGCTTTCCTCAAGTCTAAGATGTTTCAGATCCACAAAAAACATAGTTCTCTGGGCTGAAGGGATGGCTCAGCAGTTAAGAGCACCTGTTTTTGCGGGGCACCTTGGTTCAACTCCCAGCACCCATATGGTGGTACACAAACAAATGTAACTCCAGTTTCAGGGGAAACAACACCCTCTCCTGGCCTCTGTGGGCACCAGGCACACCAGCAGTGCATGGACATACATGCAAGCAAAATCCTGATAAAAGAAGGAAAGCTTATAAAATGAAACCTACTTCTTTACTAGAGAAATTTAGACTTAAGAAGGATTAATCCTCAATTCTGGAAACATTGGATTATTACCTTAATTTAAAAGTTAGAAGCAGCATTTAAGTATCAAAACAAAACAAAAGACGACCATCTCTTTAGCATCAAAGAACATGAACAAAATCAGTGTAGTCTCGTCTGGCTTTTCATGAAGACCGTGGCTTCTGCACAAGAACGGTAGTGGACTCGCAGGCGTGTGACGCTGCCCTGTAATCTCTCGGCTGCAGCCGTGCTGAGCCACTGGTCCCTCTACGGCACAAGAGTGAGTCCCTGCACCTGAGCTTAGAGGAGTACTCCTGTAACGTCCTACCGTGAAGCCATGCCTTGTTTCAGTAACTTGTGACATGAGTACCTGTTGGTGATCATAATTCTGAAAGAATGCCCAGTTGTTGACATTCCACAGGATGCCTTCCAAAGCAGTTAAAATGTCCTCTTTCCTGTCCTCCTTTATCATGACTGCATATAAAAAACTCTTTTACTGTAACTTTATAAGAGATTTATTCACAAATGCTAACAGTTTTGCACATAGTGTCACAAGCAAGACACTGAAGATTGGTAAGCATGAGAAACTCAGAGCTGACGGTAAACTGGAGACATCTTCCCCATTACTCAGAGCTTTCCTAAAACCACCTACAGCAAATTCACTGTACTTTACCCTCCTCTGACACATGACAAGTTAGTTGCTTTAACCAACAGGCCCTTGCCTACCCACCTAAGGCAAAGACATAAGCATCACTTTACACCTAAAGACAGATGTATTTATTTATGGACTTAAGAAAGAAAGAAAATCCAACAGGAAAGGGCCTTTTGTGTCTGACTAGAGCCATCTGACTAGGGGCCCCTATTCTTCAATACTATCCTGCAATGAAAGAAAAGCCACATGCCAACTGTCTCTAGGGGGATTGCAGAGATCAGGCACACAAACATGTAATTTCCTGTTCTTAGAACATACATATACATTTTTGTTAAAAACAAAACAAAACAAAACAAAATGGGGGGTGGTTTGATATGTATAAAGTTTTAAAAATAAACAGTCCTACCTTCAGTGGTCATTTACCTTCTTCCTCTTTTTTGCTCTAAATATCAAAAGCTTTGTAATTTAAAACCAGATGGCATTTTCTAGTTGCAAGTCAAAAGTGTAAGGAATGGATCCAAAGGTTCTCTGGTCAATAATTAATGACTCAAGAGAAGAGTGGAATCTGCAGCCACTCACCTTTGATCTACAGTTTTATTTAACTGGTTTAACTGTTCCGAGTGAAGTGTGACAGTGGTTACAGTGCATGTGGTGTGTGCATGAAGAGCGCCAGAGACAGAGCAGAAGTTCTCAGTCCCAACAATGGAAAAGCGGTCTCAATCCGCTCAGTCCATGGACAGACTGGAAAAATATTTAGAGCAACCAAATATTTTTTTAATATTTATGTTTTGTTTTTTTAATTTAAAAAATCACTTTACAGCCTGATCCCAGCCCCCTTCAAGGCCCTTTCCTCCCAGCACTACCCCATGGCCCCCTCCATTTCCCCTCTCCTTCTCAGAGAAGGGGCCCTAAGTGGTACCAGCCCACCCTGGCACCTCAAGTCACAGCAGGACTAAGCACATCCTCTCCCACTGAGGCCAGACAAGGCAGCCTGGCTATGGGAATGAGGTCATTACAGGATAAACAATCTAGTATTAGCATATGACAATAAAATTTCCCCCCATAAAAATCCCAAAAATGTGTATGATTTTATATGATGATAAAACTCACCCCGTCTTGTACCTCATCTTTCACCCTTATATCTATTGCACACTGAGAGATAAACCCTTTCCTTCTCAGCTGACAATGGGTGCTTAGAGTGGGCAGTGGTCCACTTACCTCTTTTTGACTTGGCAAGACTTAGCTGGCAAGTGGCTGGCACGTGAGGTGCTTCTCCCTCGGTGCTCTGCACCTACAAGAGAACCCTATGTAGTTAAAACAGAGAATCTATGGCAAAGAACAGTGTATCTTGATGGTTATCACTGAACACATCAGTGACCTATCACATCTATCTAAAGTGTGCCAAACATTCTGTAGACAGTTTATCTCAAACTTGCCAACATGTCCCGCAGCTTAGCTTTCTGGCCCACTTCCCCCACTGAAATGCAGCACTCCACCTCGGTAGCTGGGCGAGAAATATAGCATCTAAGGAGCTGCACGTATAGAAAGGAGCTGCACGTATATAAGCTGTAAGAAAACTCCTCATTTAACAACTTCATTTCTGAAAAGATGTGAGACACGGCCCATACCAGGAAGTTGCCCCGAATGTTGACCGTTAAAGTAGTTCTGATCTGAGGAAGATGCTAATCTGTGCATCACGGGAGGCAATGACTGAGTCATATTTGAGGCAACTCTGAGTTTGGTATCTATGAAAGCAGGACACCATGCTCCCTAGTGCTGAATTTTCTGAAGTCTCTGAGTTTGAGGCATCAACTGTTACTCATGTATAAGAACATCCCAGCCTGATAACTACCAGACGTACTGGTATTATAAGTGAAAGGGTAATCTTAGTACAACTAGAATCTTAAAAAGTCTGACCTATGAAAATCTCTCTAAAACTTCTACTTAATGGAAGTGCCAAACCTACAAAAACTGCCTATCTTTTTTCTACTTGCACAACTATATCATTATTTAGAAAGTTCTGATTCTAAATGCCACCCTTGCTCTATGGCACACCAGCTGGCTACTCTAGTGTGACTATCAAGAGTAAACACTTGGGAGAGGCATATGTTAATTGCCACCACTCCACCACAAAAAAGTGAGCAAAATGGCCAAACATAGGTTTTCAATCTTGAACAAATCAATATGCAAATAGGAAAAAAACTTTTAGTTTGAACCCTGAATTCCAGCTATGAATTAATTCGAAAATAAGAAATATCCCATGGGAATGAGCAGAAAGCCAACAAGCAAACCACACCCACAAATCACACACACCACACACACCCACAAACCCGACACACACACAAACAGTACACACATAGAAATATCATACACACACGCCACCACAAAGCTTACTGCTACAATCCCCCAGTTCAGGGATTTGTGATTTGTGTTGACTTTACACTATGCTGTCCCATGAACCTCCAGTTATGGCCCGAAGAAACTGAGAGCAGCGACCACTTAACACCATTCTGAGTATGACACAAAGAAAGTAAGCTCTGCTGCTTTGTGCTACTATTTAAAAATTATATTATTCAAAGCAGCAGATACAATTTCAAGCGGAAAACCATTGTTGTCAGTGCAAGGGACCAGGACACATTTTCTTTTTATATTCAACAAAAGCCTATTATTAGCTGCTACTCAGGCCCAGTCTAATACAGACAGATTTCTTAAAAAAAAAAAAAAAAAATTCAGTACCTAGATTGAAAGAGTACAGAAGAAACCCAGATAACTATTTATAGTTTAGGAATCTTAGCTTAGACACAACAAATTACTCTGAAATGTAGGGTTACCAAATATTCTATTTCCTGAGAGATAAAGTGACCACAAAGTGGTGTGGATCTAAGAGCACGCTACATTCTCTGGCCAGCCAGCATTCATTCTAGGAGAAAATCTTTCACAGCCCTTCATCAGTGCAAGACGGGAACCAACAGCGGAAAGGGTCATGCTTACACAACTGCTAATATCAGGGAGACCACTGTCACTCAGCAAAATCTTACAGTACTAAGACTGTGAGTAAGGGCTTAGTTCTTAGCTTTTATTATTGGTCACAACTATGCAAAAGTCAGCTCTGAGTGGAAAATCATGATGCCAATACAGAATCACAATCTATATAGCAAGCTTTCCTAGTGCTGTGCTGGTAAACTGGCTCTGTGCTATAGGCAGCTTTGCTTAAAGTTTAGAAAATATAATCAAACATAACTGAATTGAATAATAAGTAACAGGCTTCATCATATAATTCTTTAAACTTTAGATAAGTTCAAAACTTTCCATAATAAAAGGAAGACATTAAGAAGCTGCTCAGGCCTAGCGTTTGGGGCCAGCTTTCTGAACCAGTGCCTAGCTACCATGGCTTTGGGTTTCTTGAGAGCAGCACCCTTTGAAAGCAGTTCTCGTCCAAGCCTTCCACTCAGGATCAAGATGACAGTAATCACTCAGCATTTTATATACAGGAAAGAGCAAATAATGCTGAAATAAAATTTAAATTAGAGTCTTACAAGTTATAGTTCTGTGTTGTATCACAAAGGAGAGAGAGAGTGAGTGAGAGAGAGAAAGACAGAGACAGAGAGACAGAGAGCTAGAAGAAATCATAGAATGTCTAGCCAGGAAGCTGTATGGGACTGTGACAGGAACTTGAGCTCTTGTGCACTCAGCTCGCTGATCTGCACCCGCCATGTTCCATGGCAACTGTATGGTGCCAGTAAGAGGAGCCAGATCTGAGTTCAAGTCTTCCTAATGCTATTTACTGGCTTCTGAAGTTATCTGTGAAAATTATCTGGTTTTGAAGTTATATGATAAAGGTTATTGTATAACTCTTCTACCACAGGTCCTTAAATCGATCTAAAGTAGCTGCAAGGGACCCATGACAGCAGATTCCTCTCAGCTTCCTTTGCAGATGCCAGTCCACCTCCAGAGATGCTCCGATATCCCTCAAAGAGACCATGAAAGCCACTGCTAGGAAGTGGCATCTAAGTGCCAGGAAGTGTAAGGGGAGGAAGAGCATTGCAAACAGCCTTTGTGCCAGTCTATGTTTCTGCAATTACGTCTACGTTATCTTAAAAAAACTGCTACGCTTTATAATACGCAACACACACAGTTTGTTTCCACCATTACATAATTTTTAAAGGACTCAAGTATTTTAGATTAAAAAAAAAAAAAGCAAGTAGCAAATCCAGTGACTATTTGAGATTTGGGCATCAGGGCAGATAGCAACTATTAGAATTCCTATTTGTATTTTCAGAAAGTACACATAGGAACACTATTAGAATTCCTATTTGTATTTTCAGAAAGTACACATAGGAACAGGCATGGAAGCACATGCCTGAATCCCAAAATTTGGGAGGCTGAAGCAGGAGAAGCAATGTGAGTTCAGGATTGGCTGAATAGCAAAATCTTTCTAAAGAAACAAAATTCACAGCCAAACTTACAAGGCCAGAGGAAAAATGCCACTGTTCCCTCAAGTACTTGACTGGTTTGGAATTATTTGAACTAGATCAATAAATAGAATAAACGCTAAAACTTTAGGAGCTAAAAGTAATCAGCTGGACTAGTTAAGTACAACAGTAAGTACAAGGGAGGCTAAGAAACTGCTACTTTGGCAGCTCAGGGAAGAGCACGTGTGCACAACTGCATCTAAACGGTCATTAGCACAGGGAGAGGACGTGTGCGCAACCGCCAAGTGCATCTGACGTGTTCGTCGGCAGAGAGGACCTGCCCGCACACAGGAGAAGGCTCCTCCCACCAGCCAGACACAGCTATCCGCAGCACAGCAGGTGTCCTTCAGCAGAGTCACTGTAGCTGTGAAACAGTCAAGACTCCTGTCTAACTCGTTACAGTGCTATGTAAACAAGCCAACAAGAAGAAACCAAAAAGTCCATCTAAGCCACTAAAAATTAAAACAGTAAAATCCTCTCCCAAACCCCAAGCAAAAGATGAGAAAGGATTTAGAATTTCTGGCTACTCGGGGCATTCTAGAACATTTTTAGAAGGCAGGCTGACTTTTAACTGAAACAGTCTACAGATTTTTTCTTTTTCACTTCTTAAACACAAAACCAGCCACTCTGATGCTCTTAGGACCGTATCAGTCTTGTCATTTGTTCAGCTCTCTTCACACTGAAGCATCCTCCCCCTTGGGTCCTGGTTACTGTCCGGTCTTACCTCCTGTCTGGGCTGATGAGACAGTCTCGGCCGCAGAGCCAGACCCTAGTCAGAGCTGCTGTGCCTCTTGGTGGAGAGCTGGCTTTCTGAGAGAAAACTCTAACTTGTACTTACTGCTCACAAAGGCACGAACATTCTCTACGGGGATCAGACCCCAAACAAAGGGAGTCTCCCAGAAAAGCACACAAGCGGCTCTTTTTAGGATGTAAGTTGGCCTCACAAGGGCTGTTCTCTTTGTCTGTTAGTACAATTCATAACATGCCTAAGAGGAAATGAAAATAACACATTTCCCTGCTTTATCCATTGTTTTATACACGTCTCTGAAGTTTCCAAACAGAAAAACACAATTCTCGGTGGTTTTAATGCATATTTTAAACAGGTATGAGAAAGAAAGAATTCATTATCCTTAAGGTTCATCTACTTACAATAGGCAAAGTTGACAAAATAATTTTTTATTTATCTGAGAAACCATTACACTATGTATACCAGGCTACTAGCCTAGAACATGTATGTAGCTTCAGCTTGTCTCAAACTCATGATCATCCTGCCTCAATCTTCTGGATGCTAGTATTACACATATGCCACACACACACACACACACACACACACACACACACACACACTCCAAATATCTAATATTCCAAAAAAGGTGCACATTAGTGTTGTTAACAGTTTTGCCAGCAGAGGGCGCAGATGAAAAGTTCTATGACTTTGGCAGGTAACTGTCACCAAACCCATCTATCACTTTATAAGCGTTAATTAAGGACCTTTTGCTCAGAACTCATGAATTCTTGAAAATCCTAGAAATTGCAAAAAGGACACTGTCAACTCACCGCTGTCCACATGAGTCACCAACATGAGGTTGTCAGCTACTGCTTAATTTGTATGTTTGTTCAGGGCAGTACAGAGCTATAGTATGGATGCTGTTGGATCCACTCAGCACAGAGGAGAGCACCCAGAGAAGGTTTGAACCCACACTCAGCAGTTAAGAATAGTTGGACGAAACAGCATTTAACAGAAACCAATAGGACACAGCCAGGGGTTTTAATACGATAGTCATAGTTCTCTTCCATATTCACGGTACTAAGGCACAAACTACTTTAGTGATTAAAAGAATGGAAACATAGACTTTTAAGGAAATATGAATATTTAAGAAAAGTAGCCTACAAGAAAACTATACCATATTACAAAGGGCTTCTTCTATCCCCCTTCATTTTAGTATTTAGCCATAATTAACATAAAAATTCCAAAAGCCACCAAAAAACATAAGCAGCTCTATCAGGAACTGAAATTTAAGTGAAATCTTCCCTAGTGTGCTGGATACAGAACTCCGCTAAGAGAACATTATGAGCACCAGCATTCACTCCCTTCTTCAACCTGAGAAAGTGTGACTCAGCAGCTAGTGGGTGCCACCGCCGAAGACCATCTTCCATACTTCCAACAGGAAAAATTACATTGTGCACATGCACACACATACGCCCCAGCCTCTTCCTGTTGAACATGACACAGCAATTTCCACCCACTGCTCCTCAGGCTGGGCACAGGCCTCCCGCAGTGCAGGAGCCTGCCCTGGACCAGGGCTGAACCCTGGGATCCGCGCCTGTGGCTGAGGAGGTCTGGGTGCACCTTGTGAGCAGGGACACCTCCTTTAATTCAGACTTCATGTTAAGCAGCGGGAGTGTGAATGGGTACAATATAGTCACCAGCTGTTAATCTGGACTGACACACCTGCCTCAGCAGCCTTCTACAGCCCCTTTCAGGCACACACCATTGCCACTCTCTGCTCATAAGGTGTCCTCATGCTGGTCACTGGTCACCCCTTAAAACTGAACTTCAAACCAGTGTGATTTCAGAATTGTCACTATTATGCAATGCTGACTTGGATCTGCATATCTACTCTCAGGGCTCTGACATCAAAATCGTGGGCTTGAGAAAAAGTGGTTGCAGATAAAATGTGACCTGATAGATGACAGCTGAGCCTGAGGGGCTCCACAGCACACACTTCTGGTATGGAAAGCATAAAAGAAGAAAGCACGAGCTCCCACAGCTGTGACTCTGTTAGCAACCTCCCATTTTACAAACACTTCCTAGAGCTTTGATTCCTAGCTCTTTACTTACAAAGTGGTGTCAGGAAATCTTTTGCCTACCTCTTCCATCTCAAAGGAGTCTTTCTGCTGCACCATTATATTTCTTATGGATGGGATGGCCAGGGGTGCACAGGGCTCCTTCTCACTCCCGGATGCATGGGCGTTGTTTAGCTCACTGCTGCCCTCCAGCTCACCTGGGCCGCACATGCTCACATCCTGACCTGAGTCAGCACCGGTGACAACAGGCCTCCAGAGCACTTTATTCTCCTGACTTGGAGCTTCTCTGCTTTGTTCCCCTTCCATTTTGTGGCTAATGGTACTGTCAGCTTCGTCAGAGAGTCTGTCAGCATCAGCGCTGTCTGTGATGGTGGACGAGCTACCTGAGACTTCTTCTGTAACCGTGGCCAGCATTGAGGATGACTCCTTCTTCTTTATAACTTTCGGGAGCTTGGGATCAGTCTTGCCACCGTCTTCACACAGTGAAACACATAGACTCCTTCCTTTCTCGCCAGCGGTGGGAGGGCTCCCTTCTCCTTTCTCTGCTTTATCAACACATAAGTTTAATTTTGATAGTGTTTTCATCAGGCGGTTTGCAGTGTTGCTTCGGGTCAGAGGCGGAGGGGAGTCTGCTGCCTCCTTGGTGGAGGCCACTGAGGACATACTTCCAATTCTCTGCAGGGGAGTACCAGAGACTTGGGAATATAAAGAAGAAAATGCATTGGCCACAGTAGTGAGCACTTCAATTTGACGAAAACGGCCTACAAAAGGAAAAAAGAAGTTATATGCTTTTTAGAATTCTAGCAATTGAATTCAGATCTCAAAGATTTCTATTTTTCCTGAGTGAAGATTCAAACCACTACATTGAAAGGGTAGGGAGAAGAAGATTTTTGCTGTAAAAAATTTATACTTCAAAAAAAAAATAGAAATAACCACACACACACAAAATGATGATAGCATTGAACATACCAGAACTAGCTATTAATCTCTAGTTATAATTTACTGTTGGGTCATGGACTCCTTTAAGCCTGTTCCAAATGTCTGCTAAGAAAATACATGTCAGAATATATTCTCAACTGAACTGGGTAATAGAATTAAAGGACGCGTAAGGCTGACCCATGAATAACCTTGCAGAAATCCTGTTTTGAAACAGTATTTGACAGAGCATAACCAAGCAGAGACAGGAGTGGAAAGGACCCATGTGGCCACAGGATTTTAGAATTCCATAAGAGCACCTGAAATGGACTGAGTTCAATTAGCACCCTCCCCTCCTCCTTTTTTCTTGAACAAATGCAAGTGGGCAATAAATACAAGGTTCTGCACAGAAATTATGAGTTAATGAGGGAAGGCAGACAGAATAACTTCTATAAATAGAATTGATTCAGAGTAAGTGAAAGAGCTATTTTATCATTAATCTTATTTTTAAATGTCAGGTGCTGACGCAGAGACTATCTGGCTGTTAACTTGTTAGAAATGGACATCAAACCTCACTTGTTAAAGCATAACTTGGGTTCTCGACTTCCATTCGTTGCATCTGTGCACTCAAAAAGACTTTAATGTCTATGCCTCTGGCAAAGGACGCCGAATTAAAAAATCTGGAAGGAATTTTAGATGCGATATCCGGTTCATCTCGTCCAAATCCAAGATTATATAGAATTTCTTCAGGATCTTCCTCATAAAGCTCCAGCAGCTCTGAGACACTACAACAAATGCAGAAGAGCATAAAGCTGTAAAGTGTGCTTGCCGTCTTCACTGCACTGCCAATAAACCCAGTCCCGCTGTCACCGTTCTTTACCTCTTCCCTGTCTTCTGACACTGTGCGCTCATGCACACAACTCCTAAATGAATACATAGGTGCATTTCCTGAGAGTACTGGGGTTGGAAAAACAGAAGCAAAAGCCCTGACCCCTCATCCCTACAATCGCAAAACAGACCAGACCCTCTAAGGAACTCCTCACCTTATTTTTTTGGTCATTTTTAAGGGATTCTCCAGAAAAGTAATTTGGACAAAGCATGATAAGAAAAGAACGGTTTCAAGGAAAAATATCTCAGGAAGCTCATACAGCCTTGGGACTAGGCCCCAGCTGTGAAACATACGCCTTGCAACTATCTTAGGAGAAGCAATGAAGGATACCAGCCAGGGTCAGAAAGCAGGGGCGGAGCTTCCTACAGCTCTCTCTCCACATCCACTCAGGAAATAGGAGGAGTAAGGTGAGGAGGATACGGGTTACATAAAGAGAAACTCTGACTTGGAATTCCAGGTTAGCCTGCTATCTCACTCCAGGGGTAACCCACACTCTCTGGGCTCAATGAGAGTAACAACAGCGATGGTTCGTGTATATAAGACAGTTCAATTTGCTTCAGAGGAAAGGTTATGATACAGTAATCTGTACAGCTATTTAAACTGGTTCCACAGGCCCAGGTAGTTGATTTAAAGTACATTTTAAAGATCGCTGGTTTAACACGTTGAAAACAAATTTAGCCTTAAATGTCAATCTACTAATTACGAAGGTTTACGCTGATTTCTATATCACAGTTCCACGAGGCTCTCAAAGGGGTTTTGGTTCTTTACAAAGAGAAGCTACTCCACTATGCAGCTTCTCTTTCAGGAATGCTCATGTAACTAACCGTTCCTTCCTAGATTCCAGCACTGCTGTGAACACAGTTGCTGCTTTTTGTTTGTTTAGTTACAGGGGTTGTTGGTTGTTGCGTAAGAAGCTCCTGTCACTTGTGACGGTCGAGAAAGCACTGGCTCCCTTGATTCATACTCTCCGCACCAAACACCAGAGGTGACAGGTTCGCTTCAGCACCACGTAGCCACAGCGTCACCAGGACTCACCTCGACACGGTACCACTGCTTTTCCCAGACCCAGTCGAATTCATACTTCTCCCTTTCTGATGGAACTGAAGCCTTCTCTCTTTGGCCAAGATATTGTTGCTACAAATATAATAAGATACTCTGAAACTTGATTATCTACAACCCTTTTTCACTTTTAGAAAGGAGCAGAACCAAGCAGGTACATACCAGTTTTCAACTTGAGCATCAGGTTCATGTAGGTGATTGGCTGCAAGTAAAAAAATAAATGAATAAATAATCGGAGAGCACAGTTGCTGGAAGAACAATGGCACAATCACAAGGAAGAGAGGTTATCACACTGCCATGGTTGGCTTGTTAAACAGCCACTGCTGAGGCTACACTGCAGAGAGGCATGAACTGGACCAGCAGCTCTGGGAGGTTGCTCATACTTTCTGGCAAGGCAAAACTACTTCTATATAAGTATTTAAAAATAAAGATCTATAAATAATCAATCACATCTCCGGAGCAGGTTGAAGCATAATGAGGAAAGTAAGCGGCATAAACTGGTGTATGCAGTGCTATTAAATTTCAAAGCTGTCAATCAAGAACGTTTTAAGAGTAAATGAGACTGGGTGCCATTCAGTAGAACCACAACAGTCACATGTTTCTTAAGTGTTTTTGAGGTTAGTGCCTAACGTGAAAAGCTCTGCACCTTTCCAGTGCAGCGTGTTCTAAAACCTTCCTCTCAGCTTTATCCTAGATTAACAAGTTCAAGGCAAATGGAAACCTCTAAACCAGGGTTTAGAATTACTTTTATCATATTTTTAGAAAAATGAAACAAGTGAATTAATAACAAAAATGTCCACTTTAGCAGTTGACTTTTTCATTTCTGATGTGCAAAACTGTGAGAAGATTTTTTTCTTCTTTGCACTTCCTACCAATACTACCATTTGATATCATGAAGCCTCCCGGGCAGACATCAAAGCACTGATCTGAGGGACGCTTCAGAAGGGGCTGACAAGATGTTTAAGAATGCCGACTTGTAAGCTGAAAATTAACGTTTTCAATTATTCCTTGAAAAATGCAGAGATAATGAATATATGTACTCTAAATTTTGGATGCTAGAATGCTCTACATAAGCAACTCATCTTACAAATGGCAGTTAAAGTACAAAAGGATCAAGGAGGCTGAATTCAGTGGAGAAATTCACTCTTCATCAGCTTGTATTTTTTAAGCATTTAATAAAATGTTTAGTTCTTTGTAAAGGCTGCCAATAACCTGTTCCACTAATGAAATAAAACAAAATCAACATGGAGTAGGGCATGGTGGCTCACACCGGAAATCCCAGCACCAAGGAGGCAAAGCCTCACTGTGAATCTGAGGTCAGCCTGAGGCTATGTGGGGAATTCAAGGCCACTTTGGCTCCACAGTGCAAACCTGAGGGACCAAGTGAAAGCCCTACCTTATAACACCAAGAAACTAACTTTAAAAGGAGAAACCCAACTTTTTATTGGGAACCTACAGAGAATTTAACAATATGCTTTTATAGTGCTAAGGCAACTTGAAATAGGCACCAGCATAATGATCTAATTTCCAACTCTATTTGGTCTCTGTCCTTTAATCTTTAACCATCTTTAACCGTTGGGAAAAAAAGAGGGAAATATAAGGAGAATGACAAGCCACAGCTGTGTGACATGAGTGAACTTCCCTAAAGTAAAACGAAGCTTCAACTTAGTTTTCTTCTGAATAAATATTTAAGCTCCCTTCCTTTTTTGGAACAGTTTTCCTCTCATTTTTATCACCATAGTTTTGTCACAAACAGTTCCTGCAAGCATTTCAGTCAGCAAGATGTCGCTGTGGTATTTCAGAGGCATCCAGGCAGGAATCGTACAGGGTACAGGTTAGGGCAGGGAATGTGCGCCACTGTCGGGAGCTTTAAATGTATCTCCCAGAGTTCTAGGTCCCTCAGAGAACCAAAGCCACAGCGAGAGGCCGTCCCTCAGCAAACGTACCTTCAGCTCCCAGTGATAAGTCATCTTCAAAGCTCCCTCCATTCCTCACAGGCACACCTGAAACAGTGTGGGAAGTCAGAAACCACACCCTCCTGCTCTGCTCCTCTGCACTACTGTACCACGTCCTAGATTAAGCAAGTCAACCAGCCAAGGTATTTCACAAAGCACAGGAAAATACCTCCGAACTGAATACACTCAAAAATTATTGAGATTACATCATTTCAGAAAGCAAACATATTTTTCTCTGTTGTGAGAAACTATGTTTGCAGCCAGGTAAAATTTCCAGAATTTCAGGGCTCATCATTTATATGTCTTATGCTCTGAAGACATTTGATTAGACAAACTACTTCACCAGAGTTCCACAGAAAACCAGGTCTCACAGCAACCAGTTCTTTCTCACCTTCACGGTGTAGGACCTCAAGCTGCAGTCTCCTCACACTGTAGATACTTCCTATTCACCCTGTCACTCCTTACCTGTACATTCTTGTTGTACTTTGAACTTGAGAATATTGTCTTGCAAAGGTGTTAAAATTAGGTGTGGCAATTTCAGTTAGTGTAAGCAAAGAAATGCTACCCTAAAGTTAACCTAGTTCCCTCATTTTGCATTTTCTTTACATTTGCATATCATAGTCTATATTTAACCAGTCTTTATAATATGTCACTGGGAATCAGAATATAAGTATGACATTGTGAAAAGCTTTGGGAATCAAAATTTCTTAAAGTTACTGTGCTTTTGTGGACTCTAACAACACTTTTCCCTTTGAGCGTCTAGCTCAGAATGGTGTATTTTATAGACATGAGCCTTTCTTTTGTAATGCACATATACACGCTCACCTAAAAGAAAAAGAGGACTCTCACTTTTTAAAAAAGAAAACTATCTCTTACCCTTCAGCGTACCACTGCTTTGCTCATCCAGTGAGGCTCCCAAAGGAGTGCTGCAATCACAGAAACACAGAAGCCTCAGTCTTCTGAGAACCCATCTAGAGAACTGTCACTGCACAGCCTGACTTTAGAATTATAGCACAGCAGGCATCTCAATCAATTTAGTGCTCCTCCCCAAACACCAGGAATGTGAGTGGCTTACATAAGTGGTGTCCTTCTAACTAAGCAAGTACCTGCTGTCAAGTCAGTTCACCAGCAATGACTTAATCACAGGTTCGCTCTGCAGCAATTAAGAGCGGGATGGCAATAACACTCTATACGAATAGTTATTTTCTTTGCAAAAACAGAGAGAAGATACAGGGGGAGGGAGGGAGGGGGAGAAAGAGTGTGTGTGTCTATCTGTCTGTGTATGTGTGTGACACAAGGCTAAAAAAATGTTCCCCTCAATCCCTTCTACCGAAACAAACAACAAAAACGCAGGATTAGAAGAAAGCACATTTTCAGTGGTAAGCAACTTCATCTGCTAAAACAAAAAGTTACAGGAGTTAGGAACTACGCTCAAGAGTTCTTAACTCCTGCATGCCAATCGAGCCGGCAGCTCAGAGCATACCAAGTAGGCTGGACCTCAGCTGAAGCCTTTCTCACAGGACAGAGGCAAGCCGCCTCAGCAGCACTGTCTGCTTCTAAGCTCCAGCAAGTACACACCTTTCTCACTTAACTGTGAGAAGTCCTGAGTTCAGCTTAGAATCAGAGTTAAGGATCAGCCAAAGCTGACTTTCTTCAGAATGTCTGTAGTTCAAACACAAATGTCTCCAAATCAGTTTTCAAATACAAAGGCATCTTTACTTTTCTCGAAACATCTTAGTTTTGTGACTTGAATCACAGAAACATTCCTTTGCTCTGCAGGTTCTATTCTGTGATACAGACTTCAGTTTCTCAGTAACAGTTCCTACCTGTTAACAATTTACGTCATAAGTGGGATCCATCCTGGAAAGTATCTGTTTCAAAGAAATGCTACTGAATGCCAATTAAACATGTGGGCAAATCCATAAGCAAGGCGGTTCTCGAAAATTAGTGCTTTCCAGATGTAGAAGTACCATGAGCAAGTACGACATGGGCATTGGTAAAACTTCTAATTCTAGGGTTTTGCAAACATTTCGATTAAGCCTTAATTTTATGTCATTAAAAAACTTTGGGTTTTGTTTTTGTTTTTGTTTTTTCTCTCCTGCTGGCTTTTCCCTTAGCTGGGCCAAAACACTCTTTCTATGCCCACAGCTGCCAGTGTTGGTTTGCACTAACAGAAAATGGTAAGTAGGCAGATTGCAACTGGCCTTCTTCAAATGCCAGCTCTCCACTCCTAACTACCCTGCCCCAAATCAACCAGAATCTCTCCTGCTTCCTAGACATTACCTCAAGCAATCTGGCTATGGAAAAAGAAGTAGCTGTCAGAATAAAGACTCCACCGGAGAAGGAAAAGCAAGACTTCTTCACTCAGGATATGGATAGCAATGAGAAAACAGTATTTCAGAATTTAGGAAGGGAGGAAAATGCTGTCCTTCGGATCATTTGCACATAATATACAAAATACATTAACATTCAACTCTTGAGAAGGACCCCAAATTGCTATTTAAAAAAATACTGTTGCAAATACCCTAGCAGTCAAATATACAACAGAATAGCCAGCATTAACTTTCCCAGGAAACCAGTACTGTTTGTGCATTGAATAGAGGTAGTATAAGAACAAGAAAGAAATCTATGAGGAGAGGGGCAGTAGGTACATAATCTGTGCACATTAAGTCTAGCAACAAAACTTCTGGAATTTTCTGGACCGAGCTTGTGTCCTGGTTAATGTCAGCATTCTCCTACGGCATTTACCTGAAAGATGTATTTATTTCCTGTCTACCTGATATGATCCTTCCACAATTCCAATTACTTTTCTAAATGTGATTTTTTTTTCTCTTGTTCTTACATTAAAAAAAAAAAAATTCCCTTGGCTATCCACTTGAAATAAAATGCTAGGAATATGGAGACCTACTTTAAGGGCACACCAATACTGTATTCAGGAATGGATTTCAAAATGCAAACTTTAAAGACTTGAATCAAAGTAAGGATAGACTATCCTCCTCACTGCTTGCTGTGAAAACCCCAAAGGCACTGCTTTGTAAGTTCTCTCCTAAAAAGTCCTGAAGGAATGCACTTAAAATTTCAGCCTTCTAATTTCACACTATTCTGATGAAGAGCCTACAGTGCTCTGTAAAGGCCTGAGTTAAACTGAGCTGGGTTGTTAGCCTAAAGATGTCTTGAAGCAATGTATTTGCCTCTGTCATCTATGATAGGAATGTCTATACATCCCATAAAATTTCCGCAAGTCTAAGACAACACTAAAAAAAGTAAAACTATGCAGTGAACAATCAGTATGGCCCCAGTTGCTCACTAATGCAGAGACAGCAATATTCTGTCTGTCTTTAGGGGACAAAAATTACAATCACATATAAGAATCACTTTCAAAAATTAAAAAAAAAACACAACCAAATAATTCCTAGAACAAATATAATTTGAGAAAGCAATAATATGCCCAGAAGCAAAAGCCTGCAAAAGTTTAAAAGCTAGATATAGACTTTACCCAAGATTTTTCAAAGAGCAAATAAATTAGGGAAAGACAAAAGTGAAACACGTTTCAGTATAGTCGGATTCACTTACAATATAACCTATCTCCTCTGTATTTTATCAAACATTGTTTTGTGCCGTTTGTCAAAGCATAAAACTAAATAGACTCCTGCAGTTTGAAAGCCTTCAAAGCTCCAATTTCCTCATGCAAATCCTAATGCCACCTCACAAACCCCTGTCCAAGGAGTTAAAAACTCCAAGGACCAAGCTGGCTAGCTATAATAGCTCCCGGGAGACTTAAGGCACACAACCCAAATTAAAGCCCGGTTAGAGTAGCTAAGTAAATTAAACTTCGCTAAAACACGTTTGAGAGGAAAATGATTCCGTGCCAGATACGCAGATGCCAAAACAAAGAAAACTAAAACATCCCGGGAAACATCAGAATTCTTTCAAGAGAAGCCACGGCCGGCCCAAGTAGCATCACCAAGACCTGTTTTAGTTTCTGATCTGCTGCTGACATCACGCCCGGGCTGCTGAGGTCCTAACCATAAAGTAAACCAAAGAATCAGCAGGCACAGCACTTGCGGTTCTGCTCGCTTCGAGAAGGAAGCTTTCGGCCGGCTCACTTTCCGGTCCCCGGCTTGGGGGAACCGGCGGCGCGGCGCGGCCGAGCGGGACTCACCGGCAGTCTTTGAGCCAGATCGCGATCTTCTCGTTGGGCACGTTTCCTGCGGGGCAGAGCAACGGGACAGCCCGTTAGGGACCCCAAAGGGGCGCAGAGGCTGCGCCAGCCCGACGCTCCCCGGCAGGAGAACCCGCCGGGGCACAGGCAGCGGGCACCCGACCCAGGGGAGCCGGCGCGCGGCCCGGGGCACTCGCTGGCGCCGGGGCGCCGGCCCCGCGCGCGTCGGAGGGCCGGGGGCGTCGGGTCCCCGCGCCCGGGGGCACGGAGCGCGCCGCCTCCCCTACCGCGCGCCCCGGCCCCGCGCACCGACCTCGCCCCGCGGCCGCCGGCAGCTTCGCGCCCGGGAGGTCCTCCTCGTCGTCCTCGTCCTCGTCCTGCGTCGTCGCCTCCGTGGACAGATCCTCGGTCTCCGACGCCTGCCAGGAGCTGCGGCACTTGGCCCAGGCCTTCCTCCTGCGACTCGCCACTTGCCACTCCAGTTCCTCCTCCGCCTCCGCCGACGCCGCCTGGGGTCGGTTCATGGCCGCGCCGGGGGCTCCGCGGGGCCCGGCCCGAGCCTGCGCGGGACACGGCGGCGGCAGCGGGGACCCCCGCCGCTGCTGTCAGCGCCCAGCCGGGCAGGGGGCCCGGGGGAGCCGGAGCGGGCGCCGCAGGAGGAGGGGACGGGGAGGGAGGGAGGGAAGGGAAGGAGGGAGGGGCGGAGGGCCGGCGCTTCACGTGAACCCGGCCCGGCGGGGCGCAGCGGCGCGAGTGGCGCCGGGGAGCGCGGGTAGGCGCGCGGCGC